TTCTGGCTGGTATCCCTCCTCCTACCAGAAACTGGTTGGGAAAAAAACAATGCTGCCTTGTTTTGGACTGGAGATGCACACAAGGTTTGTGGTCCCTCTTCTACTGTGTGCTGGATGTCAGTTCCTGGTAAATCTGGTGTTGGTTGTAGATGGATGCAAAACATATATTCCCATATGTTTATAATCGGGTACCCTCTTCCTACTGTAGACTGGGAGAACCATACCCATGCCATCAGGTTTTGGATTGGAGATGTCATCCCTCTGGGGCTTTCCACCTTCCTACCACCTGCTGCATGTCGGTTTGTAGTGTAACAGGTATTGGTTGGGTTGGAGATACTGACAAGTGGAGATGTATTTTGACATGGAAGCTTGTTTTCCCAACTGATTGCTGTTTAGAAGTGAAGAGGTAGGTGATCCTCTGCCTATTGTACAGTTATGTACAATTCCAGATACTGCCAGGTGTTGGATGAGGCTGAACTACCACTACGATCTGTCACACCCTAGCCGCTTGACACCCAGGGTCCGATTAATAGGTAATACATATTAAAGGATTTTTCCACCTTTTATGTACACAACACAGTCATAAAAGAGCAAAGAGTATACCTGGATCAGATGTGGTGTGGCCTCCCACTGAGGTATGGTATTTACTTTTTTGGTTCCATACCTCATGGTCTCTCTTTTTGTGCTTCCTAAAAGCGGATAATTTTTATAACCCAGCCCTCCACTAGTTCAATGTGAGAATTTAGCTATTTTGTGAGCAGGGTAAGATATTGTATCGGAAGTTAACATTTTCCTAAACTGAAAATATATTTCTGATAAATACATTTCTGTGATCACATTTCCCACCCAATCTCCCCACTTCCGGTGATATGTGGTGTAGGTCTTCTGACCAATTTTGAAGTGATTAATGAGTGCAATTGCGGAGAGGGCACTGGTTACGATAAGGGTTATGTTGCACCTGTATTAGTGGAGAGCTGCTGCATAATCATTTACATGTAAATATGCAGGAGATAGAAGACTAGTGGTGAGCATTGAAAATTTGTGCCAATAGAGGGCATTACTAATGAGAAAAGCTATTTTGTGAAAGGAGGTAAGTATCTATCAGAAATACATTTTTAGTTTAGGAAAATGTTAACTTTTTGTGCTAAGAATATAATTACTTCTTTTTATCTTCCAGTTTTTCTATTTCCTTTGTATAATCACTAGAACTTTCTAAATGAATATCAAAAGTTTCTATTTTCTCTACCTTAACAGTGACTAGCAAAATCATCAATGTACAGTGAAATGATCAGTTGAAATATATATGTAAAATAGAGTTAATAATATGTTTTTCTTTTAATTCATTACATGTCACAAGGTCTTCAGTTTAATTATCTTCACAGTTTCAACTGTTAACCTTTGCACATCTATTTTCTTTTGATTCTATTGGTTTATTGCCAGTCTTTGTATCCACTGCACACAAGAAAAGCCATAATTTTCAGTATAAAGTTTTACCTAATAGCTCATGTCCCAGCATTAGATGGTATCAAATTTCATATGTGCTGGTGTAATTTTAGACATTTTAGTTACTTTTTGTTAAAAAATATATAACAATAGATAAAATATCAAGAAATTTGGCACCTATGTCTGAGTTCAGGCCTTTTTGTTCTTGGATGCCATAGGTTCAGTAACCCTAATTTTTTTTCTCACTTTGTTGATTGTCATAAGAATAATTCATGCAGCTTTCAAATGTGCATTTTAGAACACAAAATTACCAGGCACTAGAACACAATGTCCCAATACTATTATAATTTATCCACCTTTCTGACTAATCTATAACTTACATTATGCTATGGTAAAAATTTACTCAACACATATGAAGCTTTTATTTTTATTGACTACCATTTTTAACTGATAAATATAAAAATTATTGTAAATTATAATCACTTTCTGTTACTTATAAAGCTGTCCATCAGACAAGCAGATGTAATGTAGATCATTGGCATGAAAAGATGAAAGTAGTTTCTTTAATGATTTTGACAAATGTGTTTATCTCAGCAAATCTAAGAAGGTAGGAGGTTCAAATTTTATCTTTTTGCTTATCATTATGTGTAGTTTATGTTTTTAAATGGGTGTAAGCCTCAATTATCCTATTTTTGATGTTAGATAATTCTAAAATGGAGAAATCTAAGCACGGATGTATAACACGACAATGAAGAGTAAAATTTAAATATTTTTTAATATTTCCTTTTAAAATTAAAAAATTAAAACTTAGATAACATTAAAATTTGAATTATAAACTACATTTTCATGACAAACATTGAGGATAAAGTGGACAATCTTGATGAGTGTAATCAAGAACTTATGAGGGCTTGAAAAGTGTTTAATATTGATATGTGTAAAGTGATACATTTAAAGGGGCCCGGCATGGCCAGGTGGATAAGGCACTCGACTCGCAATCTGAAGGTCGCGGGTTCGAATCCCTGTCCCACCAAACATGCTCGCCCTTTCAGCCGTGGGGGCATTATAATGTGACGGTCAATCCCACTATTCGTTGGTAAAAGAGTAGCCCAAGAGTTGACGGTGGGTGGTGATGATTAACTGCCTTCCCTCTAGTCTTACACTGCTAAATTAGGGACGGCTAGCGCAGATAGCCCTCGTGTAGCTTTGCACAAAATTCAAAAACAAACAATACATTTAAGGTGAGGAAATGTGGAGAATCTAACTCTAATGAATATTTTTGAGGAAACTTGAAGGCTTTATCTAAGTATGTATTTCTATTAAAAGGACAGATCCGTTTATGAAACTAAGAGTAAGAAGATTATTGTACAAATGTAATGAGGCTTCATTTAGGATATTTGTGTAGTTTGGATTCTTCTGCAACAAATGAACACGTTGAAAAAGTGCAGAGATTGTCTATTAGAATGATACTTGGCTGTTTTTTGTCCAATGAAGACAGGGTTTAGAATTGTTTACTTTGGAGTGCAGAACTGTAAGAAGCTTTCAATATTTAAAATTTTTAGAAACTTAAATAATCTGCTTCTGAGTGAATTGTTTGAGAGTTGTAGAATTGGAAATATAATGTTGGATAATGGGAGTAATAAATGCAGGTGTGGTGTATATAGACTCAGCCTTTTTTTTTTTTTTTGGCAAAATTCTTTGAGTTTTGAACTTGTGAAATGATTTTCCTGGTGATGTGATGTGGATGTGATATTTTTCTTCATGTTGATAAACTTCTGTTTAAAAAAGACACCTTTCTTTGGTGAGAAATAATACTGAACCCAAATTTATTTTTTTTTAACTTTATATGAGAAAACATTTTTGTAATGTGCACATATAATTTATTGATTTATCTACAGTAGTAGTAATTTTCTTGCCTCTTCTTCAGACTTTGTGTTAATAATAACTAAAAATATTGAGATAATACACAGCTGTCACAAAATAAGTGTTAGAAGAACCATACAAACCATAGTTTTGCCAGGTGGTATGGGTGTTTAAGAAAAGTGTAAAACACATTTGAAGGATAAAAGGCCATAGGTAGTGCAAGTGGCATAACAAGATCTCATAGTGCAAGGGGAGCAAAATTACATGGTGCCCTTAATCTACTTAGTTGGACCTGTGGGTGTTCCTGCAAGGTGATGTTGAAACCATATTATCACATGATATTAAAAGTGTGATTTTGATGTTAAAACTCATTTCTTCACTCATTGATTAGTGGGATTCTTATTGCTAGATATTCACACTTGAGCAAAAAAATATCATTCAACAGTCTACATTACTTGAGTCACGTTACTGAAGATATACTTCTGTAAAAAATATCATTCAACAGTCAACATTACTTGAGTCACGTTACTGAAGATATACTTCTGTAAAAAATCTCATTCAACAGTCAACATTACTTGAGTCACGTTACTAAAGATATACTTCTGTAAAAAATCTCATTCAACAGTCAACATTACTTGAGTCATGTTACTGAAGACATACTTCTGTAAAAAATCTCATTCAACAGTCAACATTACTTGAGTCACGTTTCTGAAGATATACTTCTGTAAAAAATCTCATTCAACAGTCAACATTACTTGAGTCATGTTACTGAAGACATACTTCTGTAAAAAATCTCATTCAACAGTCAACATTACTTGAGTCACGTTTCTGAAGATATACTTCTGTAAAAAATCTCATTCAACAGTCAACATTACTTGAGTCACGTTTCTGAAGATATACTTCTGGCCATCAAATGTTATGTTGTCTGAACTCTTTTTGAAAGGAATGAAGTGTATACCAAACATTTGATGTGACTTACATTTACAGGGCCAAGGTGGTTAGGGCGTTTGACTCATAATCTGCGGGTTTGAATTCCCATCACACCAAACATGCTCGTCCTTTCAGCCTAGGGGGTGTTATAATGTGACTGTCAATCCCACTATTCATTGGTAAAACAGTAGCCCAAGAGTTGGCGGTGGGTGGTGATGACTAGATGCTTTCCCTCTAGTCTTTCACTGCAAAATTAGGGATAGCTAGTGCAGATAGCCCTCACGTAGCTTTGTGCAAAATTCAAAACAAACAAACAATACATTTACAGCTGGATCATTAGTGGAATTTGCTAATCAGTTAATGGTTTGCTTATTAATTGATTATTCTTAAATGAGGCTTGGACATCTAGAATAATCAAAAATAGTAATAACTGGAAATGCTAATACTGATTAGTTGTTTCCTTGACATTGATCAATGTAATTGATGCTCATGCGTAATTGCGTTAATCACCCATCTCTACTTGCATTGATACTGCTACGTTCTTGAGATGAAATAAAATTAATTGTTTCAAGGTCTCATTGCAGAAGCACCTATGTTTCTTCTTTTTCTTTATATAAGTGTGTACCACATATTTTTATGTATCTGTACTAACTGCCAAAGCTGTAGGTTTTATGGTTTTTCAACCATCTCTTCATATATATCAAATGTATTTTGTATTAGCCCTGTATAGAGAGTACATTGTAAATTGTTTTTTAATAAATCTTTAGCCAGAAAAGTAGACCAACTAATACCTCCCTTACAAGAAGCAGACATTTGTCTGAACAGTCTGGGCCTGTTTCAAATGGTTCTCCAAGAGATGATCAAACTCCACCAACCAGAAAACGTCGTTATCGACCTGGAACTCGAGCCTTACTTGAAATCCGTAAATTTCAAAAATCTACAGTACGTTACTTTACGAGTATTTCTGGTAATTTCTATAAGTCTGAAGTTAGTGCAAAAATTACTTAGATTATAACACTTATAGAATGTTTTAACATAAAGTTCAATCAGAAATTTTTAACCTCATAAACAAACAAAAAAAGTATAACTTGTAATTGTTGAAATTACAGAAGATCATTTATCAGTCTCTTTCCAGCTGTTCATAGGGGATTCTCCTGAGAAATAAAATGGTACAGAGATTACTATAAAAACCAAGTTAATTTTGATACATTTTGTTTATAATTTTCAGTGATTGAGAAAACCATTAGTAAAAAATTTCATCAAAATTTGATCATTTAGCTTATAAGGTACTAATTTATTCTGTAACTTACATTAGCATGAGTAGAATGAAGCTTAGCATTGTTGCATGGAGAGGTAAATATGATATTAGTTTTTTGATTTTTAATAGTTTTTACCATTTTATGGAACATTACATTCTCAAGACTCTTTGGTTAAATGCTGTTTATTATGGGATGTCCTATAATCAATTTAGTAGTTAGTATTTTATAAGTGATCTGCTAGGAGTCTAATGTAGGCTCTCTCTTTTTCATTTTCAATTTTCATTTAATAATTATTATCATTTTTGACATTGGTGATTTCTAGAAGTTGTTATAAGCCAAACATTAATTAATACATTTCAAAAGCTGTAACAATTTGTAGTTTTGTACTTCTAAACTCTTTAACACACATTGGAAGCTTTATCTTAGAGTTACACAGAAAGGGAGTGTTTTAAAAAAAAACCTAGAATATGAGTAGTCCAACCCAAATTATAAGGATTATTAGAAAAAAAATTCTAAAAAGAAAAGATGATTAGTTGAGAATTATCTAGAAGAGTTATAAACATTTCTTTCAATATAGGAGCTTATAGTCAACTTATTAAAAAACTGACATTGTAATAATGCCCAAGTCATCTAGGCTGATCAATTAAAATCTGTTATTCAAGATATGGTAAATTAATTTTAAAGTAACTGGCAAGTGCACATTTCATTGTGTTATGCAAATAAGGAAACATTTGACAAAAATTGAGAAATGTCCATAAGGCCTGTGTGGACCTTCAAAGCATCAAGTCACTGACTAGTTGCCTGTTGCAACCAGCCTTATATTCAAGAAGATGAGGTAGCATTGTGAAGACACTTTGTGTCAAATACTCTTGTAATCTGCTAAAGAACAGTGTGTGATGACTATTTCCAAAACATACTTACCTCTGCTGCCACTTGTAGCTGTTACTCGACTGCCAGGGTTTCTACTTTGCCCATCTAAGCATTAGTCTGATTTTTTCTCACTTGCTCCAGTCTTTTATTCCCCACTCAATTGCCTTTGGTGATAATTGTCTTGTGATACTCTCCACCTACATAGAGGTTATGCTTTTTTCACATGGCATTGGGGTTTACTTTTTAATGTTCACATGTATCTGGCTTAGTTTCTGCTTAGTCCGTAAATCACTTTTCTCAAAATTAATGACCTGCATATTGCCAATGTTGTATTGAGAGGAGTTTGAACCCTTTTCAACCAGTGGTGTCAACCATAACTCATTTTTTGACTTGGCTCTTTGACAGAGGTCTTCCACAATCGCAATTGTTTATGGCGGTCTTATTGACTACCGTTGGATTTTCACAACTACATATTTTTGAGTCCCCAGTACTCCCCAGATTCCTCGCATCGTTTTGGGTAATTGGTCCCAAATGACCATTCCAGTTACCTAACAGGTAGATTCAGGTTACGTGTTCTTTCTCTGCACCTGTTTGTGACCTGACTCTTATATGCTATGTATCCCCTTTATTTTTGAGTCCTCAGTACTCCCCAGATTCTTCACATCATTTTGGGTAATTGGCCCCAAATGACTATTCCAGTTACCCAACAGGTAGATTTAGGTTACATGTTCTTTCTCTGCACCTGTTTGTGACCCGACTCTTGTATATGCCATGTATCCCCTTTACCTTCAAGTTTATTTTTTGTAGCTGCTGACCTATGGACATCACTGGTTGGAGTGATTTGCATTGTTTGTCCACAGATCACTTTCTTTTTCTCTCTACATCCTCAGACCAGTTTTTCTTACCCAGCACTGTCAGGCAGGAAAGGGGTTCAATCCTTTTCTGTGATTCATCTGCTCATTCTTTCTCTCTGTCCAATCAGATTTCGATATTGGTCATGTTCAGTGAGGATCTTGAAGGTTTTGTTGCCTGCATTAATACCTTTAGAGGCACTAGACAACACTTTATTCTGGGCTCTCTTTGAAGGTGAGATATCTTCTGTGAGTCACATCTAATCAGATTTTTTTTTCTATGTCCTTAGCTGTCTGGTCGAATTGCCTGGTGGAGGTTACTGTGCAGACTGGTGTCTAGACCTCCCCCAATACATTTATTAATATGTTATTTGCCTGATCTGGCAGTCTCTTTATTTGAGGATTTTTGACTACCCCCTGTAGCTATCTTAACTATTTCTGCTAGATTATTCAGAAGGGTGAGTATTTTTATTTCTACCTTTCAGGGTCCCTTACTTTGTTTTCACAGGATCCGACTCTGTGGCAAGTGTTGCCCAGACAGGTGTGATTTTATCAAACCAGTTCTGCACTAGCAAGCACTATTTCACTATAATTATTACCGGTTGCATCAGGCTCTGTAGAAACGAGGTGTTCCATAAGACCACCTAGGAGCTTGCCAGGTGGTATCACCATACTGTACTGGACTGCCAATCATGGACTATCATGAGTAAAGCTAAAGGGGATCCTGCCAGTCCCTGCCAATCATCGGATTGAATAAATTGTGGTTGGTTTCCTTGTAAAAATTTAGGGAACTTGGTTCATCTATTGTACTGTTTCCAGAGCACTGTTCCTCAGGACTCCCCAACACGCATTACCCCCCCAGACTCTACTACTGGAGCTAGGGAGTCCTTACCACACCCAGTTTCCAGTGACTGGGATGGTGGACCGAGGCTTTTCCTACAGAATGTTACCTTCACTCTTGGAGAAGAGGGCAAAGTTGGGAGCCCTCCTACCCATGTTTTTTACAGATGTCGGTAGGAGTGGTGCCAGCCTACGTGGAAGCCTACTCGTAATACTGGTTCAGATTTTATGATCAGCTAACTGGTTGGAGTGTGCATGGCCATTATTTTTTATCAATATTGTTCATGGAAGGAGGTCTACTATCTCTTCATAATTCTGAACACTGAGTGGTCCCATCCTGGGTCCTTGGTTGAGCACAGTTGTTCTATGTCCTCCCCATAATTTGGGGGGTCAGTGGAGGACTCCTTGCCCACTCAGTTGGGGAGAGAGTATGAATGTTCATAATTTCAGAGCAGATGAGTTTTGATCCTTTGGTTGAGTAAAGCATACATGATTCTGTCATTCCAAGCCTGGAATGTTGCCTCTCAGGCTTCTTCAGGTGGAGGAGAAGGTTTGTCCACTTTGGTGTTGCTTATTTTCTCATTGTGATTTTAGTGATTTGGAACATATCACTCTATGGCTACAGATTGGGATCCAATCAAAAGTGTGTGTGTGTGTGTGTATATATATATATATAACACTGTGA